GAAAGTGTTCCAGTCTAATTCAAATCTACAGATAAAACAAAGAAAAAATATTTAGTTTTTCCCCCCAAAGAGTTTTCTGGGTGATAGGAAGAAATCTACAGAGAAAACTGATTTGCAAATTCAGGTGGCCTTTGTGTCTTTATCCAAACTACCTGAAGTCAGTATAATGACATTTTATAGAAAATTCTTTACACATTTTCTCAGAAGTCCCATTAAGATAAATGGGGCTTACTCCCAGGTAAGTGGATATATCATTGTAGGCTTAAACTCTAACCATTTACATTTTTACCTAGGGACAAATCTCACTTAACTCAATAGGACTTCAGCGGCAAGTAAAGGACTGAGCTTTGTAGAGTATGAAGCAGATTGTGTTAAGAGAATTCTAGAATCAGGCAAGTCTCTTTGGTAAGCTTTTGATTTTCTATATCTGAGCCAACATTGTAACAACTGTGCAAATGTATTTTATATATACCTTAACCTTTATTCTTCTGCTTCAGTTCAGCAAAATATGCCTATGCATAGAGGGATAGTCAAAATTGTGCTTAAATTCAAATACCATAAGCCAAATAATGTTGACTTAAGTTCACATTCCTACATCAGAAGTCTTTCACATCTAATGCTGAACTATCTTTTTGTACCGTGAACAGAAAAGACAAATCAAGCCTTCTGACTCGGCAGACAGTTGGGAAACTGGATTTCAGTTTTGCATGAAACTTACCAGGTCTGGTTCCCTATTCCCTCATCTTGGAAGAATTTTAGCCAGCTTTTACTGTGATTGAGTCACATGTGCTAGGATCTACCCATAGTTTATGATTCCAACTTGTTAACAAACTATGGTCTAAACAGGAAATTGACAAACTATATGGGCCATGGGGCAAGTTGACAATTTGGAAAAATCTCCTAGGGACCACCACAATGAATGCCATGAGAGATATGAAAAAAAACATATAACCTGCCCAGAAAACAGAACACAAAGTAGAAGTGAAATGTAAGACCAACACCCGTCACATTGGAACTCAGTTTCCAGCACCAACATATAGCTATGTTGTAAGCTGCTTGCAAGACCATTTTTTTTTTTTTTTAAGTGGAAGGGGTAGAGCAACTTGGCAATCACCAAGAAAGGTATCTGGGGGTGTGGAGATTGGTGCTAATGGGCGCTGGGTTGCTACCACAGCCTGAACTAACAAAACTTCAAACATAACAAGGAACTCCAGTTAGCTTAAAAGTGTAAGTGGACTCTTTCAATCTCTTTGTATTTCCCCTAATATGATGCACTCCAGAAGAATGGAATGGGGCATACATTTTTTCACTTTGCAAGTATGTGCATTTTACACTACCAAAGCAATGCATGAAGCAAAATACAGACGTATTTCAAAATCCATTATGTTTTTAAATGTTGTGATACAGTCCTACATTCACAAAATGTGTATGCTAGGTGAAAATAGCTATAATCTATACTAGGTGAAAATATCCATAGCATGGAAAATAATATACAGAATGGATCTTATTAGGGGGAATTGCTTCCCCCACTACAAGCACATAAGTACATAAAAGCATGCACATATTAGGAGAAATCCAGATGATAATCTCTGTGTAAACTGTAAACAGCCACACACATTAAAATAGAGATGTGACAAACTGAATGTAAACGTGGAAAAAATGCAAAATTTACCAAATGTTTAGTCCATTCCTGGGAAATGGGGAATGTGAGAGGGCAAAACTTGTTTGTATAGCACTAGATTATGGTTTAACTTCCACTAGGAATGCATCCATAATTTGAAAACAAAGGTGTCCTCCCACATGTGGAATATAAGGGCTGTTTTACACTATCACTTGAAAAAAGTGAAACAGAACCCAAACAGGTTTTCCCACGTCTAAAAGGTCTTCCAGATAAGCATGTGCAATTTCTTGATCAATGTGATACGTGAAAATTGCTGCGGAACTGCTATAGCACAGCATGCTGCAAGAAGGTGAGGAAGAGCACCTGCAGTTGCTGCCCTTGGGTTCCCAGTTCCTCAGATCAAGCCAATGTGCTGAACAGCCAATGCTCTGAGAGCAGGAGAGGCTATCAATACACTGATAAATTGAATTTGTAAGAATGTGGACTTTATATAGCCCGAGGGGTAGTCAAAGGGTGAATGCTTCTTAGTACTTGCATCTGAGGAAACTGTTCATCACATCAAAACATCTAATGTACTGTGTAGTAATATATACTTAGCTCAAAAAGCAGCTTGAAATCTGCACTCAGGAGCCAGCCTATGCATGAGAAATATGAGTATTAAAATAATGCATAATTCAATGAAATGGCAACATGCTTCCCTCCTCCATGGAGGGACCTCTGTTGAGAAAGATCCTTTTAAACACAGCATACTTGCCTGAAGGCTTGTTATATTCAAAGCAATGAGTAGAAAAATATTTTTCCCTTGCTACATGTTTCAACTTATGGAGCTACAGTGGATTTATAGGCACCATGCAAGGAGATGTAAAAAAAAATCCCATAGTAAAGCTGTATGACAAAAGAAATAAAAAGGGGGTAAAGAATAAGTGAGAGCTTATTGACACGGCAGTTTTCCCACTGCAAGGGGAGTTTGTAGACTCTCAGCTAGTGATAGATGACTGTATGGTATTCCTGTTTTGTGGTCAAGTTCATCTTGCCATGCATCTAAAAAGTTTTGTAGCTGTTTTTGTTGTTTGTTTGTTTTTGTTTTAGAGAAGTATGAGAATTTTATTTGAGCTCACAAGACAGTTGAACAAGTTCCATTTGCAGCCCTGCATACAGATACAAGCAGGTGAGCATTTTCTAAACAGTATTTGCAAGTTATCATGTATACAATCACATGAAAAATATGGGTTTTTTAAATCAAACAAGTAGTTTTCAGTTGCATAATTTTAAAATCGCAAAATTTTATGCATCAGCCTATGTGAAGAACTGTGCAGCTTTGGAAAATACACACATTTGTGGATTGGTTTTCCAGTTCCATTACATTTGATTTGTGCAGTTTTCTCATTGGCACAAATCAATCAGAAATTGCAAATGCCCACAGCAACTAATAACAATACGAAGCTGATTGGAGAATTTGGACTAGTGGGAGCTGGATCTGTTTACAGTTTTGGAGCTATAGGTTAAATGATCAGCTTATTCACATGGTGGGGTTTCTTGTTGCTCTCAGTCATAGGTTGACTATGGATAGGTGACAAATAAATAGATAAATGATAAGAATCTATTTTATAGAATCCAGAAGAAAGCACTACATGGAATTTTGTTTTCCAGTCACTGCTCATGGAATTCCCATACATGTAAGCTTAAGTCAGAATGTACCAGTACAATATTTAAAAGAACAGGAAGAATGCAGGTGGTGACCTTTCTAAAATTTGCAATCCTAATTCATAAACATTGTGTAGTACTGATATATGCCAATTTCATAGCATAACAGCTGGATTGCATGTGATATGATTACCTCAAGATGATACCAGGAATGGTCAGCTTTGTTGCTGCCTGCTATGGGAAACAAGTATGTTTTTAGTAGGAAAATTTATCACTAGATCTTTAATTACTGGTGGAAACCAATCTGTGTACTGAAACAAGATAAGGAAAGTGTTATTTGGGATAGTATAATATTGCTAATGGTGTCTGAAATGGTTTTTCCCAGCTTGCAAGATTTTTTAAACTGGTGAGCCAGACTGGAACCACTTTAGCATTTCCACGTTGGCATTGGGTAACTCCACAAGGAAGTAGAATGCACCACTGCCATTGCACTGTAAATGCACTTTGTGAAGAACCTCAGTTGCCTATGGAGGGTCTTCCTGTGCTTTGGAACTACGAGGAGACCTTTACTTGCTTCAGAAGACAAATGGCTCCATCTCTTAAATGTTCTCTCTGCTGCTATGAAAAGAGTTCTTTAAAAATGGAAAAGATAAAATTTTTAATTTGTTCAATGGCATAATCCAAAGGGGAGGCCTATAACCCCCTGCATCTCTGAACTGAGAGCATTAGGGGATCCTTTGTCAAGTAGAAAGCACTGAGGTGATCATCACCTTCTCCTTCCTCCCCCTCTACAAATCATCTGTGCAGCCAATTCCAGCTGAGACACTTGCTCTGGAGTGAAGGAGGCTAAAACACTTTCAGTTGGTAAAATGTTAAAATACTCCTTCAATAAGTAGGTTTTAAATTAGCCACCTCACAGGGTCGGGGGAAGAGCATTTTGGCTTATATTTAGTGATGTTGAACTAATTTTAGTGAAGAAGCACAAATCAAAGCTTGATTAGCTGCTGGAAGTATAATTATGTGCAGTAAAAAATTATCTAGCTGTTGAGCAGTGAATACATATGTATATTTTTAAAACTTTGGCAATGATCACTGTAGAAGCAAATTCAGCCAAAAGCTTTTCTTTTAATTTGAATGAACTTCAGTACATTAAGAACATTTGGGATAAAAGAATAGTTAATAGAATGTTTCTTTATCATATCTATTTATTTTTGAATTTGTATGCCACCTGCTAATCCAGAAGGATTGTTAAAGGCTACAAGATTCTTACAAGTCCAAAGTAAGAATGTAGGTAACCAAAAGTTGAAATACCATGAATGTGGATAGGCTACGCCAAAAGAATTCCAGAGAAATAGCCATATTAGCAAAAGCAACCAGTATATTAGTGGCATAAGATTTCATGAACTAGGACACATTTCACCATATTCATAAATAAATTCTTCAGTTCTCAAGTGTGTGTATCTGCATTCATGTATCTCTCTCTCATCTTCATTCACAGACTTCATACAGACCTGGCTAAAGAAAAATAATTTACAAAGCAATACAAGTATATATCTTCTCCTTCTGTAGTTCAAGCAAGGGCCTCCTCTTCGAGTGGAGGTCTACTGACAGAGAAGAGCAGGAGAATGACATTAATTGCTTCATCAGAATGTAGAGTATTTAAAGGAGCATTTTCAATACTTAGCACAGTCAAGCAAGGAGGAAAACCTGTAATTAGATGCTTAAAGATACTTGCCTGGAATCCAAGAAGCTTTTCACTTGGCTTAATATGTCTCTGGAATTCGCATTCTACTGGTTGTATCACTTTGATTCCATCTTCATAAAACACATAGAACATATTCCCAATTCCCAAACCTTAGGAAAAACATATTTAAATGTACAAAAATTAAACCAGCCAGAGGAAAAAAATAGCAAAGTCTTGACTGTTCTTGGCCAGACACCAATTTGTTAATGCACATGATGTTAATGCAACTAATCCTATGAGATTTTTGTATTATTATTATAGACCTAAACTGAAACTTCAATGAAATTCAGGAATTCACATCATAGGTCCCATGAGCAACAAAAGGGCTTCATGAATAACAATCTGGAAACATATGGCACACTTCAGAAAGCCCTTTTTATGTTAGAATAAAATGGAAATATAGTCTTTTGATTTTTTATTGTACTATTTTTGCAGGATGAAACAGGTGAAATAAGATTTCAAGATGACACATAAAAGAATCTTGTAGGGGTTGAGCTAGTCTGCATGTAGGACATTATTTGCAAGTATTTATTATGGCTTGCATATGCTGGCTCGTTTCTACATTACTGGGAAGTGCTTGCTTTCCTGCAAACTGTGGATCTGATTTTCAGTTTCCCCACTTCACACCTAAGCGACCTACCTGCCCCAATTAGAAGGTCTAGAGTATTAGGGAACTCTCTCAAACTGTGTGGACCAGAGGACTGCAGTAATTAAATGTAATGAGCAACACTCAGGTGTTGACTTGCAGGAACATTTTCCATGGCAAAGCCAACATGGCTGTACACACTAGCACTGGAGCAAGAGAATTCTGTCTTACCCTTTACTGCAAATTAATCACCCTAATTAGTCCATGGAAACCAAGGATGACCACAAATGTTCACAGAACCCTACAGCACTAGAACCAGTTATTGAATGATTATCATGCATGGTTTACACTCACAGAAGATATCATGGACCAACTTTGGTCTTGCAGGAAAACTCAACCCATTCAAGGGGATAACCTGACTATCTAAATGGCATTTCAGTGGGGTTACAGATGGCAGCAAAGTCCACATTGACTGGCCCAGCTGTATGAACCTAATTTGACCCAATTCATAATATGCTAAGTGGCACCGGAATTGTATATAATTAAAAATAACTTCCTCCGTGTCTCAGGGATGCCTGTATAATAAAGGTACTAGAACAATGAATACTGTTAATTGATCTGCCAAGCTAGCAAAGCTAGCAATGAGCCAGATGCACCTATCTCAATGCTGCACTTTATACTTCAGAAATTCAGTTGTTTTTATTAAGATGAAGATGAAATGAAGTGTGGAAAGAACATTTTTCAGTATCCAATGCATTTTCGATTAACTTTCATAGGGATGTAGAATTTTGTTTTTCTTCACACATTCTGCAAATGGATCCTGTTCATACTTTCAAATGAAAATATGAACAGGAATGCTATTTTTAAGAAATGTTCACATAAGTCCAAATTTGCAGCCCATGGTCAAAAGTTGGATAGTTTTAAAAGCATGTCAACTTCAATTTTCATGCTTTAGTTAACAAGGGTAGCAGAAGTGCACACTTTTAAAATACACACAGAAATGACCATTTTTTTCCCATTCAATGAGAACACTTCTCCCATTTGAACAAGCTGAAAGCAGGTCAAAAGTGACCAATCTAAACAACTTTTGAAGTGATTTTTTGAAAATTTAAGTGAGGTTGGAAGTTTTTTTTTTTTTTTCATTTTTTCCATTGCTAGGCACTCAGAAAGTCAACTGACTGAACCAGCAGACCGTCAATCCTCCAAGTCAGTTTGGGGGAACAAAGCCACACATGTTTGAAGAAATACAAACCAATGCAATTTTGAAGTTATCAGCTCCCTCTCTTCCCTTTCTAATATTTATTTGTTACATTTCTAGTTCAGAACTGAAAACACTCAATGTAGCTTAGAAAGACCAATTGAAAACCAATAACAACAAAATCATTTTTTAAAAATACAGGAACAGAAGTAGGTGAAAAACAGCAAAAAGAAAAAAATCTATAAGTCAAAGGTTTGTATAAAATATGTCTCCAGTGAGTGATATATCTTTTTATAGATTTTTTCAGAGTCTTATAGATTAGCACCTTACACTATAGTGCCTATGTTGAAATTCAGTGCATTACTATGATAAAAAACAACAACAACACCCAATGTAATTCAGCGGCATCCTCTGACAATTCTCTTAGAAACCCAAGTCCTTCACTGAATGCAGAGATCTGCTGTGTCAATTGTTTGCTTATATTGCTCACCAGAAAAAGGTCCTGTGTTTTTAGCAGTGATTGGGGCAATGATTCAACAGTCTCCCAACATTTTACTAGTAGAAACCAAACCATGCACAGTGTCAATAGTTTCTCAAATTAACAAGGGCTATCGGCATTGTGCAAATGCATGCACAATCTGCTACTGCAACATCAACAGGACTGGCTCATGGACATCACAGGGTTCTTCCCTCGGTCTGTAGAAAGCATCATCAAATGTGCTTTTTCCACAGCATGGAACATTTTCACTTACAGGCTGCTGATCAAGCAGCTTGTAAATGCATAAGAGAGAAAGCCAATAAAAAGGTTTCCCTATGAGTTGTCACCTTGTTTTCATGTAGAAATTACAGATCTTTATAAATAGAGAACTTTTGCAGAAATACTTATATTTTCTTTATTTTATATCGGATCTATGTAGTCAAGCTATTTTATCTGTTATTTTATCTCAAGTTGTGTTGGATCACTTATTGGCTGATTCCCCCCACCCCCAATCTGTTCCAAGAATCAATCTATACCATTGTTACAAACATTGTAAGGTTGTAGGTTTGTCTCTGGCACTTCAGGTCTTTTCCCCTCTAGACATATTAATAGCCCTTTGGATAGCATCTGAGGACCATGCAATTGTGCTTTAAATAAAATAGACATAGCCACTACAAGTAAAAAAGTAACCAATTATGACTGCCTTACCTACTTTGGCCCTTCAATGCATACGTTATTGTCCTCTAGAATTCAGTACAATTAACATTTAACATTGGCTGGATTTTGCCAAATATGAGTTTTGTTCCTTTTAAATGCTTTCCTGTCGAATGTCATATTTTAGAAAATAGAAGCGCTGACTCAATTCTTATGTGTCATATATCACAACATAAACATTCTGGCATATGCCAGTAGATTCTCCTGCCCCCCCCCCATCCCCTTCGCACAAACTTTCCACATGGGGCAGCTCGTGTGGCTTAGGGGTTACAATGCTGGAAGAAGTCTCACTTGGCCGTAAAGTTCACTATGTGTTTTTGGGCTAGTCACAGACTCTCAGCCAACCTGCCTCACAAGCTAAGAAGAACCTTGTAAGCCACCTTAGGTTCTTTGCAAGGGGAAGAAAGGTGGGGTATATGTGCAATGTAGTGGCAGTAGTAGTAGTAGTAGTGATGATGATTATGAGGTAAGCCATTTGGGTTATATTGGTTATTGTTCCTTGTTGTAAAAAGCAGGATATAAATTAAATTAATAAGTAAGTTTTAAAGAACAATACCTTTGTATCTCCAAGTATAAGACAACAGCAATTCTTTGTTACTCTAGGAGATGCACAATATCACACTCTCTTGTCAAAAGAAGAATAATTCACATTGTTGGGTTAATATTTTGACCAAAGATAAGCTGATTGGCTGAATGATTAGGACAGCAACAGGACGAGTTAAGGATTGGGTCCCATTGTAGAGTTTTAGCTGTAACTCAAATATACCCATGAAATTTTCAGAAATGTAATTTTATTGACATTGCAACCAAGCCTTTTTGCCCATCCGCCAAAATCACTATGATTTCTTTCATTATTGACATTGATATACTACATAACAGAATTAAAAGAAAAGGACAACTTATAAAGAATGAGAATGAATTACTAAATGTAATTAGTATGGCTACCATCTCCTAACAAAATAGTTAACATATATGAGACAAGCACATTATTACAGAATGAGAAAATTTAATATTAGTACCTTCCTCTCTCCACAGTATGTTTGCAACTGCAGCATGAAAGAGAGAAAGAACAGAAGACACAATTGGATATGAAAATTCAATGGAATGGCACATGCATTTCTAAAATAATGAATCTGAAACAAATTTGATTAATACAATAAATCCCAGTGGATATAATTTCATTTTATCTGACTCCTAAACATATACTTACTTGATATTTACTACTGGAATTAACCTATGTTGGCCTCCTTCAGTGAAGACTGTATCTCATCTAATATGAACAACACAGCTTTTAGTTTAGCAGAAATAAAGACAATGCAGGTACCACAGCTGCTCTTGTGCTTTTGTGTTGGGAATAAATGGTGGATTTGGGAGAGGAATATTTAACTGCACTTAACAGACGTGAACCACTAACAGAGATATCCATGAGCAGTGCACTGAAATGGCACTCCACAAATGGAACATGAGCATAATTCCTTTGAAGCTTCTGGGATATTTCCATGTGGCTTCAAGAGACAGAGCTGAAGGAAATAATTTTGTAGTATATTTACCTGAACTATGAACCTCTTAGTTCATAGAGATTAGGTATTTACATTTACCATTCCAAAATAAAACTCCAAATGGACTATCTATGTAATGATTCATTGGACTACCTATGCAATGGTTCTGTTCTGATTGCACAGTCAAGTAGCTAAAGATGTAACGATGACATGAATGGGAAAAACAAATATAATTTACACAATAATGCCCAGGTTAGCCCAAAACATTTGCTGCCTGGTACAGAGTACAAGAGGGTATGTTTGCATTCCATGACCAAGAGCTGACCAGACTGCACTTGTACCAATTTCTCTCCTGGTACCTTTTTCAGATGAGAAGATGGTGGGGGACCTAGAAGGTGCGTAATAGGAAGAAACATGTGCACACACACAGCAGCTTCAGCCACTCCACAATTATAAGGTAAGCTCAAATCCACAACCAAAAGATATTGGGGAAAAAGAACTGAAGAGCCTGCAAAGGAGAAAGGAAAATGGAAGCCTCTCTTATGCAGGAAGGAAGTTTTGGGAAACTGGAGAAGTAGCTTTGTCTACAGGGCAACAGAATTTTACAGAGAATAGGAACTACCCAGATTTAATCAGGTAAAATTCTTTTCTCTGAAAATTTCATAGATAGAATTTTTATCTTATTGTAATAACCATGGAATAATAATCTCAACAATAACAACAGCTGAATCTTGGATAAATAAACCCTTGATATCTTATGGCTTGCTTAAGAGCTTTGAAAGGAAATTTGACCCACAGAAAAGCTGTGCTGAAGACTGAGCCTCTTGTTGTGTCATTTTCAAAATGAAAAACCTTGCGTAGCTCTGCATACCTATGTACAACACAAAATGCCAGCCCAAATTATTCTCAAGGCAATGAGGTAAACAGGCTTTGTATACTATGTGATGCAAGAGAGAGTTTTTATAACACCCAGCAGAAGAAATGCAGGCTATAAATCAGAGTCAAAAAACCCTTCTAGCTTGATGTTGTGTGATAGGCAACAGACATGCTTGATTGGAGATGGTGGCCATGAACCTAGGAGGGCACTCGCATTCAGATCACATAACCTCTTCTTAGGTGATGAGACTTTGACATGCAAAAAAGTCCCTGGTGTTAGAAATTGATCTATTTAATGGTAGTGAAGAGGCACATTATTTTTTAAGCACAGCCTCTAGACACAAAATGCAGGAAGCAGATAATTTTCAGCTTGCAGTGGGTGAACAGATGAAAGGATTTATAGAACTTGCTTCATAGAATGTGACAGCGTCACAGCTGCTGAACTGGGTAACACGGGGAACTGTAATTGATGTTAAAGAATAAAAAATGCTGGATAAAATATTAATTGGGCATCAAATATTCAACTCATCCGTAAATTACTGCAAAATCCTTGGGTGACAAACTTTCCTCTCATTAGAGTAACAGGTAAATAACATGAAGTGTAGATGACCTGAAACAATATTCTATGAAAATATTCCAGATAAACTTCAATCATAAGATAAAATATCTTTATTGTCAAAGATATGTTTTTTGAAAAATTTGAAAAAATACCATTCATTAAAATGTCGATACGGTTTTCTAAAAAATGAAAATCGTTATCTGCAGTTTAACTTAAAGTATCATGAACATGACCTTGGAAATGCATTGCAGGAGTGTAGGCTGCATTTTCACACCATTTCAGTGTAATGGTAACAATAATGCTTAGTACAGCTTACAGCCTTTTCCCATGCTTTTGTCAAAAGCTTGCAAAAATTAAGAACAAGCACACAAAGGAATATGGACAGAATGCCCCTCCAGTTTGAAAAATAAATGACAATATCTGATCTGAAATGTCATTCTTCAGCTTTCAAGAAACTAGGAGATGTGTATATATACATATATATGCACACAAAACATTCCCAGGGTGCACCCATTCCTAGAGACCTATCAGTCAAAATATAAAGGGTGACTTCAGATGTTCCCTTGAGTTACCCATGCTTTTTTGGTTGCTACTTCTGGAACAATAAGCATATATGGAAGAGATGCATATAACACCTTGGCATTTTCTGTGTTTAGATGGACAGAACATGAGGGGTATAAGCAATAGGAATATGTGTGCTTTCTCATTCTACCTACAATGGGGAATGATTAACTCATGAAGCTTCTGTGGATGCTTTAGGTAAATGTCCAAAGCTGGCCTTTTCGACTGTGTTAGCTGGGATCACACCTGGGAACACATTCTATGATTAAATGAATTCACAAGGAGGTACCATCACTGTATACATTCATTAATCATTAGTGGCAAAAGAGAGGAAAACAACAGATCTGAGACATTAAAACAGTTGGGCCTTAATCCACTCCAGTGAATCTAGTCCTGCATAAGGGGCAATAGACCTCTGTTTTTCCTATTTCCATTCAAACCTCACATTCCCTGAAAAAGATGATGAAGTAAGGATGTGCAAGGAATCCATGTGAGAATCTATCAGATTCCCTATGCTTAGCTCCACAGACTCTGATCCATTTTGCAGCAGCCCTGAGTCTAAGTTCCTGGCAACCATGTCAGGGTTCATGAGGAACTTGCCAGGAATTGATCCCCTTGCCAAAGCAGATACCCTTTCCTATGCGTGCCATGGAGCTGCGGGCCACAGGAAGTGGGGAAAAAGTTTGGTTTCTGGGAAGGAAGTTGGGTATGCCTGCTCATGACACCCTTTCCTGCATCCTGCAGCCAACCCTGATGTAGAAGGTTTCCAGTTGCACATTCAGGGGTCCATGAGTCTTAATGGACTTTCTCTTGGCTTGGCTTGCTTTACACAACTTGGGTGAGCATGAGAGAAACTCTACTGAATGCAAGAGGGATGGATTCTGAGAAGGTTTGTCCAAGCCTAGGTATATGGGAGGCATACAGGTGCCTCCTATTTTGGATAATAATGTAACATGTCCATGTGGGGAATACAGTTCTTTTAGGTCTCATGGAAGGTCTACTGACTGCATTTAAGTCCATTGGCTACATAATAAATATAATTTTAAAATGATAATATTTTATCTGTCCTCTACACATATCCTTTTATTGCTTAACTCTCCATGGATTACTTACCTTGAATTATTTTTAGGCTGAAATGATAGCTTTAGTTCAAAACTGAGTATCAGCTCTGAATTTGACTCCTAAATTTGGTGATTACATGGAAGTGTCTCATGTGTGTGTTTGTGCACTGTTGACAGCCAGACAAACAGGCATGTTACAGTTGTACATAGGACCAATAGATACATTAGCACTATTACAGTAGGTTGTTCTTGTACTAATAGGGGTGTCAAGAGGGTTTACCAGATTATCATCTTTTTGTTAAAATTATATGAAGATATCAAAGAAGCTCAGCTCATGCCTTCATGTAGACATAAATGTAACAACTGCATGACAAAATGCTTGCACAGTGCTTTTCATTTACTTTAATCTTGAATTTCAATTTTGATGATGTATCATTATCATCTGAGAAGCACTGGCTTCTCTGGGGAAAAGGAATGCATCAGGAGTGTCCTATCTGCAAGAATCTCTCAGATAAATTATATCTTCCATTTTCTACCAAAGCCTCAGCTTAAGACTATTTATTTCCTTGCATTCTTGCTAACAGCAACAGGCATCACATAGTCCACCAAAGGTCTTATCCATCACTCTGTTTTTCTGCCCGCTATGAAAGACAGTATATTAATCTATCAACAAGCAACTCTGTAGGTTATTAAATCTTCAAAATCTAATCTCAAATTTAAAGTGTAACTACTTTACATGTAGACGCTTTGAAGATTTGTTTGTTAACACCTTCACGTCAGTCAATTTTGGCTTCTTAGTTTTGTTGTTGTTGCTGAAGAAATCCAGGCAAAGAGGAACTGAACCTTTGTATCTTTCACTTCATAAGAACTGTTTTCACATGCAACAAAATCTGGCCTTCCCAAGTTCTTCTTTAGGGGTAGCTATATTATATATAGGACTGCAGTAAGAGGTAAGTCAAACCTACATGCCATACGATGGAAATATTTTCAGTGTGCATTATTGCACATTCTCGAGTAACAGAAAACTTCCAAAACCAATAATATATTTAAGATGTATTCATTGTCAAATGTTGAAGGAATATACAAAACAGGGTCTCTAAAAGCAGTGGTCAGTCTTTAAAGAGCCCCTTCAAGCATTTTCAGTTTTGAAGGGGCTCTTAGAAAATTGGCCTCCAGTGAGCACCCCAGCCACAGATTTATAAGTTAACAATTCTGGCAAATTTGAAATAGGCAAATTTGAAATTCTGGCAAATTTGAAATTCTGGCAAATTTGAAATTAACTCAGGTTAATTGTGTGTACGCTAGAAAATTCAAAATGGCGGCAAGAAAAGCACAGCAGTGGTGCAAGCAGGCCACATGTTAATGCCAGGGTTATATAAAAGCAAATCTACAAATGATATCAACATACAATCTTGAGAAGCTTTAGAAACTTTCATATATTGTATTTCATTCTTTTTAAAATGTAAAATTACTTTTAGTCTTCCATTAAG